TGTGTGGTGCCTGCGGAAAAGGCATATTAATTAGATGGACGGTGCGAGGGTGAGAGGCCAGCTTGCCCCCGTCCCCTGCAGGAACACTTTGGGGAAGGCAAGAGGCGAGAGTCAATGTTTTCTCAGGAGCCAATTAACTGAGCACAGTGTTGAGAAAGTCCAGTCTTTACCAAAAAACAAAACCAAACCACTACCACCACCTCTGGGCTCTAAGCTACGGCTGGCGGTCACATCAATGACTGTTGCTGCATCCGTGGGCACCACCTGCGCTCTCCGCCTCCCGCACCTGGGAACTGAGCGCATTTTTAAAAGCACACCGCCCTCCAGTGGCGCGAGGTAAATTTGCTATCGGGCTAACGCCAGAACCACCAAACTTCAACGTGACCTTTCCTGCGCCCCGGGAAAATGTGGCAGTGCCACTCCAGCGTAGGGTCCCCCACCGGCAGGCAAGTGAGCAACGAAGGGAAGGCGATGCAGCTAGGAACTTGCCCGGGCCCGCAGGGCCTCCCGGGTCAGACTTGCACTTTTTCCTCTTACAGCTGTGTCTTGAGTAAGATGGGGCGGAAATTAACTCTGGAAGTGGCGCTTTCAGAAGACAGACGAAGCACTTGCTGCAGATAAGCGTGCAGGGGAAAGGCAAGAGGCGGCCTTCACCTAGGAGGCTGGCAGTAAGGACCTAGGCCGGGTGCGTGCGACCTGTCACCCTGTGCGTTCACTAAGTGAGATCACACAGCAGCCAACACTGAGGCTTCCTGTGTGTCCGGCGCTGTGCCCGTGGGGGTCCCGCAGAAATAACCCTATTCAATCTTCCCAACTCGTCCCATTAACAGATACCATTATCATTCCACTTCCAGTATGAGTAAGCTGAGGGTCAGAGAGGGGACGCAACCTGCCCCTGACCGCCCGGGGTCCGGGCCCATCTGCACAAGAACTGGAGTCTCCAACGCGGCGCTCGGACTGGCCCGGAGGCCCGGCTGGGCGCGCCGCGGGCGGGCGAGCGCGGCGGGGTGGGCGCGGGGGCGGCTCACCTTGACGATGAGCGGGTTCTGAAACATGGAGTCCCGCACGACGCCCAGCCTCTCGTTCTCCATGCCCGGCCGGATATCAGCCATGGTCAGGGGCCGCCGCGGGGGCGGACAGATCTGGCTGACCGTGCGGCGCACCGGCTGCTTGTTCTTCCATGGCATGGGGTCCTGACGGGAGGTCCTGGCCTCTGGCATCCTTGGGTCGCCGGGAACCAGCCCGTCGGCTGCAGCGCCCGCGCTTCCGCACGTCGAGGCAAACGTTGAGCTCCGAGGGGCCCCCGGCTGGCCCCGGGCCGCACCACCGGGAACCGGGGGTGGGTCTCGGATGCTGGTCCCCCTCCGGAGGGGCTGCGCTCACCTGGCGATACTCCCTCGTGCTAGGAGTTGGAAACCCCTAACTGCGCCCCACTAGCTCCTCAGAGAGTCTTCTGGGCACCGTGCTGCGGATTGGGAGAGGAAAAATAATGAAGACCACCCCTTGAGGAAGAATGGAGTGGTCCGTCTCCTTGGCGACGGGACGCCAACAGAGCTCGGCTAAGCCTGTCCTTTTCTTTCGTGAAACTATTGGTGGCCACCAAGGTGGACCTGTCTAGAGTTTTCTTGAATCGACGTAGGGAATCGCCACTGGGTTGTGCTAAAAGTGACAAGGCTGTAAGAGGGCCATTTATACTTAACGTCCAAATCAAAGATACCATCCTTCCCCTGCCCCCTACTCCACTCAGCCCCTCTTGCCTCTGCTCTCTACGCTTAATATACATCGGAGATGTGACGCTGAGTTTTTCTTGAGGAAATAGATATCTGCATCCAAGTCTGATGTTGCTGCTAACCCACTCAGTGGTCTCGAGCTCGTCACCCTCTTGGATTCTCAGGGTATTTTTCTGTGAGATGGGTGGGGAGGAAAGTCTAGAGTTGGATTAGATCAATGATACTCAATTTTGTGCAATGGAATGGAGGGAAATTGAAAAACACAGGTTCCCAGGAACCACCTGTAGACTCATCGAGTCAGAATATCTGGAATGGCATCTGTAATTTGCACTTCTTTCAGTCTGCTTACCACCATCACCACCACAACCAAATCTTTTTTTTTTTTTTTTTTGCCCTGGGGTAGAATCCCGTGGGGCCATACCTCACAGCAACCTCAGAGTCTTGGACTCAAGCTATCCTCTTGCCTCAGCCTCCCTAGTAGCTGGGACTGTAGGTGCCCTCCACAATGCCTCGCTAATTTTTAGAGACAGGGTCTCGCTCTAGCTCAGGCTGGTCTCGAACTCTTGAGCTCAAGCAATCCACCTGCCTCAGCTTCCTAGAGTGCTGGGGATTAAAGGCATGAGCCACCGTGTCTGGCCACCACCAAATTTTTTATTTTGAAAGAGTTCAAACCCATAGAAAAGTTGAAAGTTGAAAGAAAGGTACCGTGAAAATCCATCTAGGCTCCACCTAGTTCGCTAGTCCTTACACTTGCTTTCTGTTTGTGAGTGTAGGAGTATGTACACACACACACTACAAAATCATTTGAAAATTTCTGTAAACATACCTTATTTAACCCTAGTACTTCATCCTGTATCAAGGACATTCTCATGCATAGCTACAATGTCATTATCATGCCCAATGATTTTAATGTAATACAACAATAATGTCTAATATGCAATTCATAAGCAAAGTTGGAAATTTTCATTCTTTTTAAAACTTTCGGCTCGGTGCCTGTGGCTCAAGTGGTTAAGGTGCCAGCCACATACACTTAAGGTGGCAGGTTTGAATCCAGCCCTGACCCGCCAAACAACAATGACGGCTGCAACCAAAAAATAGCCGGGTATTGTGGCGGGCGCCTGTGGTCCCAGCTACTTGGGAGGCTGAGGCAGGAGACTCACGTGAGCCCAGGAGTTGGAGGTTGCTGTGAGCTGTGAAGCCACAGCACTCTACCCAGGGGGATAGCTTGAGGCTCTGTCTCAAAAAAAAAAAAAGAAACTTTCCCAGGTGACAGGTGCAGTGTTTTTGGAAACACTAGCCTGGATGATCTCTAATATTTCATCTAATTCTAGCCTTGTGTGAGTTATTCATGTATTATTATCATCTGTGTTATACGTGAAAAATCCTCTTGCACACAGGCTCCAAAAGTAGTGGGTTCCCTATAGAACAAATTATATTGATGACAAACCTGGACTTCAAGGCCATGCATATCAACAGTGGACCAATGACACCTTTACAGAGCAAACCAGAGTTTCACCTGTTCGCCCAAGACCTGGAACTGGCTTTGTGTGGCAACATGTGTGCATATGTGCACTCATTGTTTCTCCAGCCTGCTTCGCTTACAGAGTGTCAAAGAAGTATAGGTTATGCACTTTTAAAACAAAGCCACATGAGGTTTGGATACAGTGGCTCATGCTTGTAATTCCAACACTTTGAGAGGCCAAGGCAGGAGAATCGCCTTAGGCCAGAGTTCAAGACTGGTATGAGCAATATAGCAAGACCGTGTCACTGAAAAAAAATATTAAAAATTAGCCAGGCACAGTGGCACATGTCTGTAGTCCCAGCTACCCATGAGGCTGAGGCAGGAGGATCACTTGAGCCTAGGAGTTGGAAGGCTGTGAGCTATGACCATACCACTGCACTCCAGCCTGGATGACAGAGCAAAACCCTATCTCTGGAAACAATAAATAAATAATTGAATGCCACTTGGCAGCTCACACAGGGAAAGTCAGAGTTGTACAGTGAGGGGAAGGATATTGGAGTAATGGAAAGAGCACTGGTCTGAATTCTGGCTGGGCCATTTAAGTCATCTTCAACAAGTGACCATAGGCCTCAGTTTTCTCATCCACAGGTGGGGCTAATATCTCAAGAAGATACCTATAACACAAGCAGGATTATTACAGGATTAAATGAGAACATTTGTTGCTTATATGATTATATTTATTATCCAAAAAGGCTCAAAGTTTGGTTGGTAGATATAATGGTCTCAACTTGAAAGTCTGGTTAAAATTTCACTGTTTATTATTATTTTTTTGAGACAGAGTCTCATTTTCCCGCCCTCCGTAGAGTGCTGTGCCATCACAGCTCACAGCAATTTCAAACTCTTGGGCTTAAGATATTCTCTTGCCTCAGCCTCCCAGGTAGCTGGGACTTCAGGCGCCCGCCACGACGCCCGGCTATGTTTTAGTCTGGAACCTGTGAGCTCAGGCAATTCCACCCGCCTCGACCTCCCAAGTGCTGGGATTACAGGCATGAGCCACCGGCCCCAGCCAAATTTCACTGTTAATTATAAGCTAAGTCTCTTCAGGACTATTGAAATGGGAGGACTGGGACAGATCTCCAAAGCTCCTTCTAGCTTTACCCTTTCAAGACTTCGACCAAGCTTCAGGTCCATCAAACTTGGCTCCAATTAGCCCCTGCCCACATCTGCCTTCATCTCCCACCACTCTCCCTTCATTCACTGTGCTCCAGCTGCTCTGGCCTTCTTTCAGTTCCTCCAGCAAATAAGTTCAGGACTCTTGCACTTGCCCTTCCCCCTATATTTTTACTTGTCGTTTTCATTTAGGCCTCAGCTCATACGACACTCCTCAAAGAGCCTTTCCTTACATCTGAAGTAGCACCCTCCGTCCCCATCAATCTCTGTCACGTTACCCTATTCTATTTTCCTTATAGGGTAGTCTGAAATTATCTTGATTATTTGCCTTCCTGGATTGTTCATTCCTGGACCATAGATGGAGCTCAGCAAAACCCTGAAGACACTAAATGCATAGAAAAATTAGTACGCCGCACGTTCAACCCCACCCCACCGCCAAAGACCCCAGAAACAAAATGGGCAAAGTAATCCGGCTAGCTGCAAGCACCAGGAGGCGGCCGTATTGCCATGGCAGCATGACGCCGCCGGGGAGGCCGGAAGTGACGCAACTTCCGCGGCCACACCAGCAGCACTTCCGGGTTGGAAGTGAGGCGGCGCCAGTTTCGGAAGGTAAGTTGGACGCGCTTGTTAGCTGTTTCTGCTCTTTAAAATGCTCAGGTAAAGTCGAGCGGTGGGTGGCGGCTGTCGTTACCTTCCAGGAGTCTGTCTCGAGCGTTGCGGTCGCTGCCGCTCCGGGCCTCACGTCGGGGAATGAGACTTGGGTCTGTGGTCCCGAGTCCACACCTGGCGGGTTCCTTCCCGCTCAGCTCCCGCCCGGAGCAGAGCAGGGTCTCTCCCGCACCCCGAAGGCGGTGAGCGGGTCGGGGCCGGGCGGAGGGCGTGTGCTCCGACGCGTCTCCGAGTGCTGGGTGCTGCGGAGCGCCGAGGAGCCGCTTGGAGCGAGGCGGGTGCGAAAGTGACTTTCATACTTAGATAGCTAAAGGGCAGAAAAGTACAGGTCAGAGCCTTTCTGGCCAAAGGAGCTGCTTTTGCCCTGAGATGTAAAGGAACATGGTGTGTTCTGGGAACTGAAAGAAAGCAGGGTGTCTGAAACAGAGAAATGAGAGGTGGCCACCGACAGACTAGACAGTGAAGAGATGAAAAGTCGTGTGTGTGTGTGTGTGTGTGTGTGTAAGGATTTTGACTTTATCTTAAGAGTAAGGACGGAACCATAAAAAGTTTTTATCAGGCAATGACTATGTATTTACAAGGTTGTAGGCGACTAGGGGAGGTGCTCAGATGAGTTACAAGAAAGGAAAGAACTGTTGGAAGATAGAAGATTGTAGGAATGGTCTGCTCTTGTCCGTTGTTACTAACAAGTCCTAAAAGATAGGCATGAAACGTGTCCGTTCACTTCAGTAGCTTGAAGGTCATAGACACTCTTAAGTGGAGCAGTTAGAGTGAAGTGTGGGTGGAAACTACAAGGATGTAGGTTAAGAAGTGGATGGAAGGTGAAGAAATAGAACGATTTCTCTACCAAGAAATATTGCTGCAAAGGGAAGGAAAGAGAATAGCATGGGACTTTGCATTTGAGAATGGTTTCTTTTTTTTTTTTTTTAAGTCAGAAGACACAGTGCCCCACGCCTGTAATCCAAGCACTTTGGGAGGCCAACGGATTGCTTGAGGCCAGAAGCTCTAGATCAGCCTGGGCAGCATTGCAATACCCCCAGACCCTCTGTCTAACCCCCCCCCCCAAATTAGCCAGTCATGGGGGCTCATGCCTATAGTTCTAACTTACTCAGGAAGCTGAGGTGGAAGGGAGCCCAGGGATTCACAGTTGCAGTGAGCTACAGCCAGGCCACTGCATTCCACTTTGGATGACAGTAAGACCCCATTTCTTGAAGAAGAGGAGATTAAAGACTATTAGAATGTTGCTAGAAAGGAGAGGCTGGAAGAGAGATGGGATATGCCATAGATCATAGTCTGTCTGAGAAAGCGGGAGGGGGTGCGGATTCAGCGCATGCATGAAGGAAGTGGCCTATGAGAGGAGAAAGGGCACTGCCTTTGTTGCAGCAAGAGGGAAAGAGAGGATGTGGCAGATGCAGACAGGTGTCTTAGATTTGAGGGATAGCATCTCTTGTCTAATGTGTATGAGAGTAAAATGTGCTTACCATTCAGGCTTAAAAGACCAGCAATACAGAGGCATCTCCAGCATCTACTGTTAAATTGCAAATGCAGATCAGAATATACAAATGCTACCTGCTGCATAAGAAAGGAGAGGAAATATGAATGGATTATTTCAATTTTTGTACCATATAAATATATTACTTTCTTAAGGATAAATAAAATCTAAAATGTTGAACCTGTAGCAGTAATACAGAGCAAAGAGGGGAATAAGACAAGTTTGGAAAATTGTGTTTTTAGCCATCTCTTTGGTAAAGTGCATCTCTGTTCTTATGCCCTATATGTATTAACATTAGCGACTTAGAAAATTAATTCCAATGTATTGAAGAATTTTCACTCTTGTTGGATGCTAAATTTATATGTGTATGTGTGTGTGTATGTGTATATATATATTTTTTAATGTAAAAGCATATTATTTAGGGAACAGGACAAACCCAAGGGATCAGAGAAAGCTCTCTTGAAGAAGTAATCTTCAAGCCAGGCTCTTCAGGATGGCAGGTGGCAGGAAGCAGGGAGTGTGAGAAGGCAGTGAAGAAGAGTATTCCAGGGAGAGCCATGTGTGGCTGAAGCACAGAGTTGGAAAGCTGAGGTCACAGATGAGGGGGCAGATACCTGATGGAGCACTGGTGTTCTCTGTTGCTGCTCTTTCCCATGTTGTAAAGGCAGCAGGCCAGACGGAGAATTAGTGAGCCTTCTGTGCATTTAGATTAGAAAATTTGTAATCGTGACTACAGGCTTGTCATTTGTCATACAATTTCATTTTGCTACGATTTCCCCCAAGGCTATGTTTAAAATGTAAAACAAACCATTGTTGTCACATTTCCCTACAGGAATAAAATGGAAGGAGAATCGAGCAGATTTGAAATCCATACTCCAGTTTTTGACAAGAAAAAGAAAAAGAAGCATTGTGTACATAAGGAAAGACATCAGAAACATTCCCATGAAAGTTTCAGAGACTCCTCCCTGATAAGTGATCAGCCTCAAATAACTAAGAGTAAAAAGAAGAGAAAAGATTTCCAACATCTGGTTTCTTCTCCTTTGAAAAAGTCAAAACTCTGTGATGAGACTGAAAGGGCCACTTCTACACACAAAAAGAAGAAAAAGAAAAGAACTAGTGCTTTGGGGGTAGACAAGGAGACAGGTGTTACATGTGTCCATGTGGATAAAGAAAACATCGAGAACATGCCAAAGAATTCTAAAAAGGGTGATTATGCTGTTGATGTTGGTAAGAACGTGAAACAAAGGTCGACAAAACAGCCGAAAGCAGACAAGATGCATGTAGTTGCTAAGTCACATAAAAACAAATCAGAAGAACTGCACTATAAAGTTAGGAAGAAAAAGTCTAAAAACCGTCAGAGGGAAGTTGCCTCCTGCACTGCCCTACAGGAAAGCCAGCATACAAGTGTCACCCTGCCCCAGCTGGAATTGCGTGAGCAAGAATCCTGGCCTTCTGGGAGCCAAGAAGGCAAAATTACGGAACTACCAATATCTGCTGATAAAAACAAGTCTAAGAAAAAAAAGAAAAAAAAGGCCAAATCCAGTAACCAGGAATTTGAGGCATCAGCCATGCCTGAGAATCTTGTGAGTGCACACTCTGCAGACTCACAAGTGGTCAGTGAGGTTGGCGCTGTGGAAGGCAGCGATGTCCTCACAGGGGTCACAGAATCCAGTAGTGCAAAGAAAAAGGGTAAGAAAAGGAAGCACGCTTCTGTCAAAAGTGCTGTGGCGTCCAGTGGGGAGTTTTCTGTGCTCAGTAGGAACTCTGAGAACATAACCTCTGACTTACTGGGAAGTAGCGGTGCCTTGATCGAAGAAAGGGTGAAGCCCAGGCCACAAAAGAAGAAAGCCCGGGCCTGTTCAGCAGACAGGCATGTGGAAGAGGTGTGCAGGTAATGTGGGGCGCTGTGCCAGCAGATGGGGGTGTCTTTTGCATGTGGCCTCTGTATTTAGTATGTATGTATTAAATGGCAGAAATCAAAAAGAGCCAGACACACACAATAAGGTACATGGCGTTTTTTTGTTTGTTTGTTTTTGAGATAGAGTCTCAAGCTGTCGCCCTGGGTAGAGTGCCATGGCATCATCATAGATGACAGCAACCTCCAACTCTTGGGCTTAGGTGATCCTCTTGCCTCAGTTTTTCTATTTTTTAGCAGAGATGGGGTCTCACTCTTGCTAAGGCTGGTCTCGAAGTCTTGAGCTCAAACATTCCACTCACTTCAGCCTCCCAGAGTGTTAGGATTACAGGCATGAGCCACCGCACCCCACCGAGGTACATGTCTAACTATGTAGACTTGGCAGCTAACTAATCTCTTCATGTATAAAGTAAGGCACATTAGATTTTCACTAAGACTACTCTAGCCCTGAAATCTCTGAGTAAGTTTAAAAGCCATTCTAAGACCCCTAAATTACCTTTGCTTGTCTATGGGCATAGTGATAGAAGGAAGGATTAGAAATACTATACTTAGGCTCAGCACCCATAGCTCGGTGATTAGGGTGCCAGCTACGTACACCAGGGCTGGCAGGTTTGAACCCCGCCCAGGCCTGCTGAACAGCAATGACAACTACAACAACAACAAAAAAACAGCCAAGCATTGTGGTGTGTCCCTGTAGTCCCAGCTACTTGGGAGGCTGAGGCAAGAGAATTGCTTATGCCCAAGAGTTTGAGGTTGCTGTGAGCTGTGATGCCATGGCAGTCTACTGAGGGTGATATAGACTCTGTCTCAAAAAAGAAGAAGAAATACAATACTTAGAATTCTACAGAGCAGAAAATAACTTGAGTCAGGTTCTCACTAACAAAAGAAATTTGGATAGGTTTATTTGTATAAATATTATTTAAGTGTAACTGTATGGTGAATAAATATAAAGTTTTTTGTTTTGGGGTTTTTTTTTTTTGAGACAAAGTACTTACTCTGTCGCCCTGGGTAAAGTGCTATGGTGTCTTAGCTCACAGCAACCTCAAACTCTGCTTCCTAAGTAGCTGGGACTTTGGGCACCCACCACAATGCCTGGTTAATTTTTGTTTTTGGTAGAGACTGGGTCTCACTCTTGCTAAGGCTTGTCTTGAACTCCAGAGTTCAAGGAATCCTCTTGCCTCAGCCTTTTAGGGTGCTAAGCTCACAAGCATGAACCCCTGCACCCTGCCTTTTTTTTTTTTGAAGACAGAGGGTCTTGCTCTGTTGCCCAGGCTAGAGTGCAGTGGCACAATCATAACTCACTATAACCTCAAACTTCTGGACTCTAGCGGTCCTCCCAGGTACATGCCATCATGCTCAACTAATTTATTTATTTATTTTGTTGAGATGAGGTATTATGACATTGCCCAGGCTGGTCTCAATCCTCCTGCCTCAGCCTCCCAAAGTGCTAGGATTACAGGTATTGGCCACCAAGCCTGGCTGATTTTTTTTTTTTTTAAATCACTTTATCTCATCACTTTTCACTCAGAAGCTTTTTTACATTCACTAAGTTGTCTTGGCTTAAAATGGTTTTTGTTTGTTTGTTTGTTTGTTTTTTATAGAGACAGAGTCTCACTTTATTGCCCTTGGTAGAGTGCTGTGGCATCACAACTCACAGCAACCTCCCACTCCTGGGCTTAGGCAATTCTCTTGCCTCAGCCTCCCAAGTAGCTGGGACCACAGGTGCCTGCCACAATGCCCAGCTACTTTTTTGTTGCAGTTTGGCTGGGGTCAGGTTTGAACCTGCCATTACATGGGGCCAGCACCCTACCCGCTAAGCCACAGGCGCTCCCCTTAAAATGGTTTCATAGAGAAGTTAATGTGAGCAGGCCCCATGTTACATGATATTGATAATAGCTATGGGCCCATTTTCATCATCTTCTGTGCCATCTCATCCGTAACATTTGCAGAACGTTTGTCCTGAGTCAGGAATATTCTGGGACTTCACTGCTTAACTTTTGTTGAGCTACAGGCCCTTTGATAGCTGTTGGTCCTTTTCATAGAAAAATGCATACAGTTTTTCCAGTTGCCAGACTGAGAGCTTAGCTGATAGGTTTGTATACACTTGAGAGGAGGTGTAGACATCTGGCAGAGAGTTTGGGGATGAATTAGTGGTAGATACATAGAAAACGAAGCAAAGGAAAAAATGAGAACATCAACTGTAGCAAAACAACTGTAACTGTGTAAACACTGAATGTTGATTTAATTAACTAGTAGCCCTTAGCCAATGAAATTTATTAACTCACTGGAAGGGTCAGGAAAAGAACTAAGTCTTGGTGGGGATGAAAAAGAGCTTAGCTTATTGCTTTTTGTTAAACAAAAAAAATCGAGCAATATTTTAAGTACAAGCAAATAATAACTGGTAAAAATAGGAGTTAGGGCCTCACCTACACCTTCCGGGCTGCCTCTGAAGTATATCCAGGATATGGTAAAGCATCTGGAAATCATGGACTGAATCAACTCTAAGGTTCCATCTAGCTTAACACTTCAGTAGCCTAAATGGGTCATTTTAGGAAACATTTAAAAGTTACTAGGTCAAATGATACGTTAATGTTTATCAACACCATTTCCCCTTTAGGTTAGAACCTACAAATGAAGATGAAAACAATTTAGAGTCAGCTAAAGATTCTGAAACAAAACATTTATCTGAAGATTGGAGAGATGCAAGTGATTCAGATGTGGATTTGGATTCTGCTGTGAAGCAGCTTCAAGAATTCATTCCTAACATAAAGGAAAGGGCTGCCACTACGATTAAACGGATGTATCGGGATGACTTGGGGCGATTTAAAGAATTTAAAGCACAAGGTGAGCTTGTGGAATTCCTAGTATCTGTTGAACTTTCCTGTATTCAGAGCTAGCACCTGGCTTTCTTTGTGAGTAATTCCAATTTATAGATTACAAGAAGCATCCTTCAGCTACCAGAATTGCTGTCCGAGTTGTAAAGTTAGCAAAGTGAAGGGCACTACCTTTCCTCTTCTTGCCCTTTTCTGGTAGAGGAGGCGAGGAAGAATGGGGCAGAAGGGAGCAGACAATCCCCAGACTAGAAAATCAATCCTGGAAGAAGAGAAGGAACAAGAAGGACGTAAAAGTTAAATCAAATTAAAATTGTCATCTTTAATGAGGTATGTTTTCCTTCCCCACAGTATTAATAATTTGAGGGTGAGCTGGTTGTAGCAGCCTTGGTCTTCTTGATTTCGGTGTTATAAGAACCTCCCAGAAAGCTTAGTGGACTTAAGAATAAACTACCAACTGTACTCTGTACTACAGATCAACTGTACTCTGTACTACAAATGACAGTTTATCTCCTGTGAGAGCCCCAGTAGTGCTGGTCATTTACAGAAGCATAAAGAGGAGTCTTAGCTTGTGGAATTAATCAGGTCGAAGAGATTAGTTCAGAAAATAGACAAATTGAACAAAAACAAACACCACACACAAGCACAATTATACAACAGTATATAATTCTGTTTTTTTGTTAGGTTGTGTTAAAATTTTATGGTGTGTATTTTGTAAAAGATACTTTTAAAATAAACCTAAGAGCAGAAATATGTACTATACAGCACAGTCACTATGTGATGAAACTTGTGTGCTTTTTGTCATGAACAGGAAGAGAATGTAGTGTGCACTGACATTTGTCACCCTCCACAGGCCATGCACAGGAAATGCATGTGAGTCTCCCTGCCTTGGCCCGTCTGGTCAGAGTCCCTCCCCAGAGGAGTCTTACGGCAGGAGCAAGCGAGTAAAGCAGAGCTTCTTTTAAACTTTCATTTCAATGCTGTTTGAATTTTTTATGAATAAATGTTACTTACTAGTATTTAAAAGAAAACTATTTTAAAAAGAGATTAATGAAGCAGAGATCACTTTGGAATAGGATGGCCAGGACAGAAATTAGGAATGGAAGTGTGGTTTGGGCTGAACCTTTTCTCAGAAGGGAAGGCTGAGTCCAACAGTGGGGCGGAGAGAGCCAGTGAATGCCAAGTGCTGGGCGCGGCTGCTGCCTGTGTGGCACAGGGTCATCCTGGGAACCAGCAGGAGCTGCTATTCTTGGTGACAGTGCATACTTTCTCTCCCCTCTCCCGTCCCCCGCCCCCAACCCTAGGTGTCACTATTAAATTCGGCAAGTTTTCTGTCAAGGAAAATAAGCAGTTAGAGAAAAACGTGCAAGACTTTCTGGCCCTGACAGGAATTGAGAGTGCCGATAAGCTGCTGTACACATACAGATACCCAGAGGAAAAATCTACCATCACTGACTTAAAAAGGAAATACTCATTTAGACTGCACATTGGTAAGTTTAGAAATATTCACCCTTTGACTATCCAGAGCCTTCCACAGCCTTAAACAGGATGACTCGTGGTCAGTGTTTGGCGCAGGGCCTGCCTACCTTGTGTGCCGTGCATGTTGACTGCTGCTGTGGCTAATGGCATCCTTGCTGCCAGCTACGCTGTCGGGGATTTGGAGTGTGGTCCTGCCTCCCAAGTATACTTCTTTTGTAGACTTTGTGAAAAATTAATCAGCTTCTGTCTTTCCTACCTGGCAATAATTACAGTTTTGGTTTCTCTTCCTGGTCTTTATTTTTTGTGTTTGCTGCACAGGGCACTTCCTTACACACTCTTGGTCCCCCAGGGCTTGCAGGGGTAGCCCTGTGTGTGCTCTGTAGCTGGAACCCTCCTGCTGGAAGTGCTGCTTGGGAGTTAGAAGGTGTGAAGGAATGTGGAAGCTTAGAGAAAATACCTCTTGAATTTAAAGAGGTTCATTTCTTAGATGTTCTCCTGAACATACAAAGGAAAACGAGATAGTGAGCCCCTGTGGAGGGATTACTTCATCATTTTTTTTTTTTTTTTTTGAGACAGATTCTCACTCTATCACCAGGCTATATAGTGCCATGGCATTATAGCTCACAGCAACCTCACACTCCTGGGCTCAAGTGATCCTCCTGCCTCAACCTCCTCAGTAGCTGGGACTATAGGTGTCCACCACAAATGCCAGCTAATTTTTCTGTTTTTAGCAGAGACCAGGTCTCACTCTTGCTCAGGCTGGTTTTGAATCCCTGAGCTCAAAGGAAGCTCCCATGTTGGCCTTCCAGAGCCCTGGGATCGCAGGCATGAGCCACCGAGTCCAGCTGGGATTATTTCTTCTTTAGAAAGGGAAAGTGAGAAAAGCTGTTTAGAAAGATTTTTGTTTCTCTTATGAGTAACTTTAGCCTGTGTCTCCACCTTAGTACTCTGTTCCTCTTAATTCAAGTTATGCTAAAATGACTTTGCTTAAAAGGGTCTTTCCTGGCTCGGCACCTGTGGCTCAAGCGGCTAAGGCGCCAGCCACATACACTTAAGGTAGGGTGACTACACGTCCCAATTTTGGTGGGACAGTCCCGCTTTTCAAATTTGTCCCACGTCCCGCAGCGTTTTAAAAAAGTCCCGATTTTTGGAAAGAATGCACAAATGGACTGGAGAACAAGAAGG